TATTCGCACCAGCCATTGTTTCTTTCTTCATAAAGAAGCCCAGAGTTAAAAGCTGGCCACATTGCTCTTCAGCCCAAACCCTGTCTTTCCCAGTGCCCCTGGCTGGCCCGTGTGGCCACGTGTCTCGTTTCTAGCCAATGAGATCTCAGTGGCTAGGTAGCGTGGCTAGAAGACAGGAGGCGTGCCTTCTGCCGCCATGTTCCTCCTCTGTGCTCTCTGGGTTGCAGACACGGAGGTGGGAGCCTTCTCAACCTTCTTGGACCACGAAGAAAAGGATGCCAGTCTCAGGGACCAGGAAGAAGCGCGGGTGGGCCCCTAGCTGCTTTGCAGAACTGCCATTCTAGCCTTGCAAGGTTCTGCCTGCTGTGGAGTTATTGTATGGGTGAAACCCCCCACCCCCCATCCCCCAACAAAACCCAAAACAAACCCACAAACCTCTCTCTTCTCTAAACCTCTCTCATTTTGAATTTTCCTCGTGCATGCAGCCCAACTTCATCCTCTCAGATAGAGTGCTTGGCACACACGTCTCGGGCTCCCAGATAAATGACCCTCTCCAAAGAAATGCGGCGCGGTGCTAGGTCATTGCCCGTGGGCAGGGACCATATTTTCTTCCGCGCAGTCCCGCATAGATTCCATGTGCAGACCCAGGCTGCGGGATTGTTTGCAAGGCTGCCTGCACCGGATGAGCTCCGTCTGAAAAATGCTCTGCCCGGGAAATGCTCACGGAGGCGGTAACAGGAGCTCCCAGATTGCCCGGAGATTCCTGAAAAAAGTTCGCTCAGAGGGACTGAACTGCCAGTCACATCCGCCAAGAAACCAAGTCCTGAACCTGAACCTGAGGCTGGGGCCCGTCCCGGTGACGTAGTTCCCTGAAAGAGGGAGTTTACCCAACGCAACCATCTGCATTTCGGCATAATGGTCAGCGGGCTGCTCTTTCTGACAACAATTAGCTGAAGCGATCGGTTGCTTCGGTCTGTTCCTCATCAGAGATGCTGCGCTACCACCGGGGATGCAGCCGGCCTCCTGGAGGACAGCCTCCCATCTCAGCCTTAACGTCACTGCACGCTGCAGGTTGCTTTTTTAGGGCATGTTGATATTTATACTCCAGGTAGTGCGGGCGGCAAGCCTGTGTGATGCCCCGGAAGCTATGGCATGGGTCAATAGCAGCAGCTCACCCAAGGCATGCGAAGGGTCTTGGGAGTAGCGTTGTGTGTGGCGTAGGAGAGACTAGGAAGAAAGGCTTGGCGATCCACTTCTGAGAATTTAGCCAAAGGAAAACCCCGCGGATCACAACAGAACACTTGCCCGGTACAGTTCTGGGAGAGAAGGCCTCTAGACTGGGAGTCACTCAGGATGTACGAATGGATGAGAATGGCTACGAGGAGGGGAGAATCGCAGAAGATGGAGACAGAGAAGAAAGGAGAGACAGGGCGGGGGGAGGGCGGAGGTAAACAGAGCAAGTGAGAGTCAGGGTGAGGGAAAGAGAGGGAGAGAGGAGGGAACCGCGGAAGGAGAGGGGAGAGGAGAGAGGGGAGAACAAGAGAGATGGATAGAACAACATGGGCATCGCCCAAATCAAACCATCTGCCATCAAGTCAATCCCAGCTGCCAGAGACCTTGCCAGGACACCCAAACTTTACAGGAGCCAACGGCCTCATCTTTTGCCCACAGAGTGGCTAGTGGCTTAGAACCACCGACCTTGAGCTCAGCGGTGCAGCACCTAGCCCACAGCGTTGCCAGGCTCCTGATACAGTGACACAGAGAAACACCCAGTATCTCCCAGCACTGTGCAGTCCAAGTCCAATTTGCGCTGGGAATCAGGCTTGCTGGGAGTCTGGGGAGCAGGTGCTGGGCCAGCATCTGTTTGTGTGTGTGTGTGTGAGTGTACGCGCACACGTGTGAAGAGACCACTGTTCCCAATGTTACGTTCCACCCCTTCCCACAGCCCACTCCCCAAAGATTCATTAAGATAACAACAGTGACAGCCCTGCTCGCAGGGGCACCGTGTCTGCCCAAGAATCCCAGGGAGCTCGGTGCAGATTCTTAGAAAACTGTGGCCGCCTGGCCCCCACGCCTGCGCACAGCCCCCACCGGGTTCGGCACCTTTGTGCCCAGGATCAAAGGCTGCAAATAATTAATCAGCCCTTGCTTCTCCGAGTCCTAGAGACAGTGGCTCCACCTGTCATGGGTGTTATTTGGCCTTAGCTGAGCTTGCAGTCTGCAGAAGGGAGAGAGGGGGCTGGGAGTCTGGCAGGGGTAGTGTTGAGAGAGAAGAGGTCTAGCTGCCAGCAGCCTGGGCCACGTCTTTTGGGTGACTCTGGATCCAGTAGGAGGGAATGTGAGGAGAAGCAGAAATGTCACCCGCCCCCATCCGTTTCAGACTGGGAGTGGGATTTGTCAGGACAACGTCCAGACCATGGTCTGTCTGGGCCAGAACTCTGGGGCACAGCTTCCGCCTGTTTTCTGAGAAGATTCAGGAACCTGAACTTGGCCACCCTGACCCTCTGCTCTCCCAACCCCTCAGCATCCATTCCTGTCTTCCGGCGAGAGCTTCCATGTTTCCTTGCGGAGGGGAGCTGGGAAACTTTCCTGTAAGAATGAAACCTGCTTTTGCCACCGGCAGCAGCCCCTGGCCTACCCCTTGGCTGCCTGAACCTGCACCATCTCCTCCGGTGTTTGGAATGGAGGGGGTCGGACATACGCGTATGATACACGTGTCTGGTACTTGATTATTTGTGCTTCGTCGGAGGAAGCGTTGGGATTTTGGGAGAGAGATTAATGGCTTGCGTTTGTGGAGATGCGCGGGCATGGGGACCGGTGTGCTGATTTCAGACTGTTATGAAAACCACATTCCACGCTGGGTGGCTCGCATCCAGTGGCCTCAGACACGCTGCAGGGAATGACAACTTAATTCCATCTCATTACAAAAACACTCTCCTCCTGTGCACTGGGCAGAGCTGGAGGAGTGAAAGGAGAGATTTCTGCAGACTCTAGTTTTTTTTTTTTTTCATGTCAGCCATTCTTGAGGTTAGAACCCAAGGCACAGGGTCCATTTCTCTAGCCACCAAACAGCTTCTCTGCTTCCTCTCATTGGACAACTCGGAGAGGATGGGCTCAGCAGTCCAGTTCTTCTGGCTTTGATCCCAGTCTTATCCCTCTGCCACCAAGCTGGGCAGCCTTGAGCAAGGGCCTCCCTGAACTTGAAATAGAGACCGTCCCTGCGTTACACACAGCATCTGTTCCTGACTGTGTCTAATTTGTAGGTCAGTCAGGACAGGTTCTCATTTGAGCCGACTTATGGAGCCCTGGTGGCACTATGGGGTGTATTGGGCTGGACGTTGGAGGTTCAAACCCATCAGCTGCTCACTGAGAGGCAGGCGATGCTGTGCGTTAAAGACCGACAGTCTCAGAACCCCTCTCTAGGGACGCTGTGAGTGGAATCTACTTCATGGCAGTGGCCTTGGGTTTGTCTCTGTGCAAGAAAAAGCCCAGAAGCCTTTTCAGAGATTCTCGACCTGCACGCGCAGCCAGTGGAGGTGATTGTGGTGAGGGGCTTGTTGCCGTAGGGGTTGGTTCTGGAGCTCTGATGGCGTAGTGGGTCTGATAATTGCACGGTGAGAATGAGAATCCATCAACTGCTCTAAAGCAGTGGTTCTACCCCACTTTCCTAATGCCACGACCCTTTCATACAGTTCCTTATGTTGTGGTGACCCCAAACCATAACATTATTTTCATTGCTACTGCATGACTGTCGTTTCACGACTGTTATGAATCGGGCGGCCCCCGTGAAAGGATCGCTTGACTCCAGGTTGAGAACCGCTGCTCTAAAGGAAAAAGACAAGGGGTCTGCTCCTGTAAAGGGCCAGTCTCAGAAACCCTCAGGGGCGGCTCCACCCTGTCCTGCGGGTCAGGTGAGTCGGCACAGACTCAAGGCAGTGAGCTTGCTTTGGTTCTTGGAGGGGTTAAGTCACCCATTTCAACCCGGAGACAAATGGACAAAACTGTAAAGGGCAACGAGGAGTTGACCATCAGCTGGCCATTTGTAGTCAGAGGGCTGTCTGCACCCGTCTTTGTAAACGGAGTTAATCTACCTTTTTCTCCACCTGTCAGCCTGTTGTGCTGGGGTGTCTTGCATGTCATGATGCTGTAAGTGATGCCGCAGATACGTCAAACACCAGCTGGGTCACCCATGGGGGCTGGTTTCAGTGGCACTCCCAGATTAAGGCTAGGAAGAAAGGCCTGGCGGTCTGCCTTTGAAAACGAGACCGTGAAGACCCTGTGATCCCAGGCTGCTTCCTGAGACTCTGACGAGCTTATTGCAGATGGATCGCTGGAGAGGGGCGGCACTCCTGGTAGAGTAGCTCCAGGCCCTCCAGTTAATTGTGACCCCTGGCCACGGGATACACCTGGTCCTCATATCGTCCTAGGCTGTACATGTTTACGGCGGCAGACAGCCTTATCTGGGCTTGAACCACTGATTTTCTGATTAAGGGGTCCAGCGCTTAGTCTGCCAGGGCTCTTTGGTCGAGGGCCAGTGACAATGGGAGCAACCCTGAGTGAGAAAAGTGGACACAACAGCCACTACAGTGGACTCAAACACACCCGTGGCCAGGGAAGTGGCTCAGGAATGCGCAATGCTTTGCTGTTATACATCAGGTCCCTGGGAGTCGAGCTGACTTGATGGTGACCAAAAAACACCATGATTTTCTACAGAGTGGTAAAGATACGAGGAGTCAGGGTTCTGAGATGCCCAAGCCCAAGGACAGAGGTTACTTTGTTGTATTGTGGACTCGGCCTGCAGCCGTCCCCCTGGCGCTGGTCTGTTGCTGAGAACCAGGTCCGCCGGCTCTCTCCCTGTGTGCTGTCCACTGCAGCCTGTTCACTACGATTCACTCCTCCAGTCCCCCCCACCCCCAGATCACCCACAAGTGTGATTTCCCGGTGTTTGGTGTCAGTGATTTGAGAAGAGAAGCCGCGCTGCCCTTCCCCGGCTCGCTCACCTGATGGTCTGATGCTGCAGGGAGTCGGGGTCTGTGGCGTTCAGGGTCAGCAGCACGCTGCCCACAGAGGCGTTCTCCCGCCTGGTCACCGTCATGGGGTCCGGGTAGAACACGGGGCTCTCGTTGACATCCAGGACGGTGATGTGGACGGTGGCCGTGGAGCTGGGACCGTAGGTGATGTCGGGGACCAGCGGGTCCTCGTTCTCCACTTTGATGAGCAGGGTGTGGAACGCAGAGATCTCATAGTCCAGGGGCTGCAAGGAGAGGGCAGGCTTCTCAGGAGACCAGGAGGCTACACCACCCCTAGGCCGGATCTCAGGAAGGGAGGCTATGTGCGCTGGGGCCTGAGACATCCCGCCGGCAGTGGGGGGCATTCGAGGACCGAGGTGGGGCTGAGCCTGATGCAACTCTCTTTATGAAGAATAGGAAGCGCCCAGAATTAGGGATCTTTCTGAATGAGAAATAAATCACAGTGCAGGGCCTGAACCCTAGAGATGGAAGGCCTTTTCTCTGAAATCTCCACATTTGGGCAGCACAGGCAGGCGTCCTGCCGGTCGCCGCAGCTTCTGATGCTCCTGGGGCCAGACAGGTGGGGTCCCAAACCCTACGCCCTGCGGTTGCTGATTTCAACGATGTATAACGGCTCCAGGTGACAGAGTAGAACTGACCCAAGGGTTTCCTGGCCGGCCATCTGTGGCTATGCCTTCAGGAGGGGCCAGTCCCTGGAGAAGGACTCATGCTTATGAGACATGTGGCCTGGTGGTGAGGACAGTGTCCCTGCTCCAAAAGACACAGGGCCAGGGTCAAGTCTAGTCCTGACCAGCTCGGAGACCACTGGCAGATCTCTGCACCTCTGGGCTCTCAGCTTTCAACCCCCTGAAGCCCCCGTGCAGAGGGTCACTGCCACCCCCCTGGAGGCCCCATGCAGAGCGTCACTGCCACGGTTTAGCCAACCTGGTGTGTGGCGGTGGTGGTGGCAGGAAGCTGTTAGGATGGCGAGGCGGGCGGATGCAGGAGGTGAACATCCCAGGACCCCTGCCCCACTGCTCTGCCTCCTCAGGGACCCTCCTGGGCTCACCCTCCCAGGGTGCTTCCCAGGGATAGAGCTTTGAACAATACCAGAGGGAGGGGCTCCTGAGGAGCATAGGAGACAGGAGGGGTGGTGGGAAGAGACAGGGGGGGGGGCGCCCTGGATTAACAAGCAAGGCACACCGACCAAGCCTGACCAAGCTGTGCTTTTCTGGAATGTGAATATCCAGATTGTTTATTTCGCTTCCTGCCGCTGCACGGATGTAACGATTCCCGTTGTACAAGGGCCCCGGGCTGGGCCCTCCCAGAGCTGGGAAACGCAGGTCTCAATTTCCAGTCACACCCCCCGCCCCACCGGGCAACCTCTCCCCGCGGCCCCCTTTGGGTTAAACGCTCTTGCTCATCTCGGGCGTGCAACCTTATTAATGCACGTTGTCTGGCTCCGGGTCTCTGTGTCAGGAATGGGAGGAAATTGAAAATGCGTGCGAGGGCGGCTACGGAGATCCAATTCAATTAATATTTTATCAAGTGTCAAGAGAGGCTATGGGCCCTTGTACCGGAGGCTCGACAGGCTGACCCAAATGGAGAGGATACAGGGCCTGTGGGCATGTGGCCCAGAAGAGGGAGGCAGGATTTCTGAGCCTGCGATGTGTTTGGGGATCAAGGGTGCTTTATGGAAATTCCCTTCTCCGTTGAGAACAGCAGAGGAAATAGACCTAACATGCAGGGTG